GGGGTAAAGCTGCTTTCACGCCGTAAGAAAGCCTTTCGCCTGGTACCTGCGTGCGGGACAAGCCTGCTGGAACGAGATTGTTGTTGTTGTGATAAATATTTAACCTGCCTGGAATTTTTTTTTTCCCCTTTCCCCCCTGGATTGGCTCTATTCATCTTCCGTGGGTGGTGAATGCGCGTGTCTGGGCAGACAAAGGAGCGGACGGGACCCGAGTGATCGCCGTCCTTATAAAGGGGTTGGGGACAGGAAGGATGCAAAGGCACTTCAAGAGGCTGAGAATATCTTTGTCCGTTCTTAGCTCCTTCCCAAACCGAAGGGCTGAGGCGAGGGAGAGCGGGTTGGAGCCATTTCGGTGTTACCGCGGCTGGTTTCTTTGCCTCCTCCCGGAGAGGGTTCCGCAGCCAGTCCCGCAAGCGTGGAGTGCGGGGGGACGTTGGGAAACACGCTTTTTGCCCGAGTGCGTGTGCCAGAATGGCTGGCAAAGAAGTTTCGCGTATTTGCCTCTCCTGGCCTGCTCCGGGCTGGGCCGAGGTCGGTGTTTGGCGGTTCATAGCTGCTGGAGTCCCTGGTGCGCTTGGTCCTTTGGCAGGAGAAGCGTAACGCGTTTCATAGTGACCATTTTCTTCTGCCGGCCGCCGAGAGGGGAGGATTGCAAAGAATTAGCTCAAATTCCTGCTAGATTTACCTGCTTATTTTTGGACGCTGATGTACAATTAGTGTATTTTACTACCTTTTAAAAGCGGCCATAAATTACGGGACTACAAGGGCTCTTTGTGTTGGCTTAATGGGCTGCTTAAATCTTAACTACAAAGAGGTGCTGCGATTGTCTGTTCACGCTTGTGTTAGGAAATTAAAAGCGAAAATACGGTACGAGGGACCCTTTCTCTGGTGGCACGTACCCACAGCACTGCGTGCAGAGATATTTGGGATTCCTTCGCGGACCCAACAGCGGCAGACTCAGCTGACTCTGAGCAGAACTTCTCTCGCAAGGGCACGGTCGATAGCTCTATTCTTTTTATCTGCTTGGAAATGATCAAAGACTAACTTTATCTCTATCAGACGCACAGAAGTAGGTAAACAGCTCTGCGTCCTAGCAGATTTCAAGTCTTTCGAGGAAGCGAGGAAATAAATACTTCCCTCGCACGGTGATTCCCATTTCGTCTCCACATGGGAGTGACAGGCTTACCTCCTAACAACTGGCACGAAAGTAAACTTGAAAGACAGTAAAAATTCTAAATCTAATTATATTGAAGGTAACTTTAAATAGCGTTAATGACAAGAGTGACTATTAACGACAGAGCTGGCATAAAGGGTCTCTCTTAATGAAGGCACGTTTTGAACTCAGATCTGTTTGTTGATCCTGAGCCTGGAATTTCAGCTCAGCTCGAAGGCATGTGTATAAAGCACAGAAAAAAACAGTAGCAGACCTACCGATAAACTCCAAATTTTTTTCTGCTGGAAACCGTGTTTCAGGTCTCCAAATCACCGAGGTAATAAAACACAACGTTGGATGTCCCGGAACAGGAACAAAGCAATATACGGAGTGGCGGGGGAAATCTAGCGTCTGCGTCTCGAAAGATCATCTGAATTTGTCTTTGAAAACTCGTAATCCCGATACTAGAGCAAAGAAAGCTTTCCCCAAAATCGACGGAAGGGAATAATTTTCCTCTGCGATCCAGGACAGCGTAAAGTTAGGCAGATCCCCCCCCCCCTTCCGTCCTCCCAAAGCACACCCTGTGAAAGGTATTCACACGTCAAAGAAGTTACTTTTCTGAAGAATTAATTAGTTTCCTAACTACATACAAGAAGTTAATTGTTAAACAGTAGTTTTAGCATTAACTTGACCATTAATACTAATAAAGATGTTCATAGAAACAGGGTTTTGAAGCCAATGGCCATAGCTAGCGTTAAGGCATTCAAGCTGACTTATGATTGTGATTTATTGCTTTTGTAGTTTCTATTTGCTGGAGACTCTAACTTCTAAAGCCGTCTTCTGCTTTTGACGCAGAGCAGTCGATAACTTCTCACAACAGCCCCAAGAAAGACTTGCTCTGCTTTTTTCAACCTCTGCTTCATTCCCCATTAATTTTGGTTTCATTGTTGCAGAAGAACTTCTCTGGGTGTTTCTTTTACGGGATCTAAGCTAACCGTATTTAAAAGAGCCGTGAATCCATCTTGAGTAAATATCAGCTTTGGTTTACTAGTTACCAGTCGTGCTGATAGCTACAGACCTGGGCATGTCGTGTGTGGCTAATGCTCTCTCTTTTTCGAAGGTGTATAATTTGTATTCCAGTTCTTACTGAGGGGTAATATGTGTACGCCCTGCTACTATGTTAGTCACTTCCATATGAAAAATTGCAAAATCTTCCTCGGTTGTAATGTCAGTCTGGCTGAGCTGCAATGTCCACTACTACACGCTGTTACTGATGGGTTTAAATTCCAGCGGCTCACTTGTACAGTCCAAGGGAGAGTATATAAGGCTTGTCCACGACACTAAAAATCGCCTTAAAAAGAAAACCCCTTCCATTCTGTTCAACGAAGTGCAGGTGAAACAGCAAGAGGGCAAATGCAGTTAGCTGAAAGTTTGCTCCGAGCTGATGGGGGATGGTGGAAAGATTTAGGCAAGGGTATATACATGGTGATGCCAAATGCTGGAGTGACGGAACTGGACCAGGAACACGTTAAAAGCATGAACTATCTGATTTTCTTTGACTCCTTCCAGAGAAGTTAGTGGAGGGTTTCTTTTGTTTGTTTAGCCTATTGTGTCCACAGCTCAAGTTAAACAAGCTTACGGGGAAGAAGTGGTGTGTTCGCACACAGGCGAAGCTGCCCGGCTCGCGGGCCGAGCACAACTTTGCTCTTTTCTTTTTTTTCTTCATTTTTTCTTTCCCCCTTAGGCAGAGTTTCCCCCTCCCCATCTTTTTTTTTTTTTTTTTTTTTCCCCCCATCTTTAGAAACCTATAATTTTGTGCATCACTCAAACTAGCTGTATAGGAAACGCGTAAGCACAGGTTTAACAGAAAGGTCCCAAAAGATTTTGCAAAACTCAGAGCCGCGGCAGTGAAGGAAGGTGTATTCTTCATAGTGTGTTACAAGGACAAAAATCAACTAGCCTCTTAGAAGAGACTCTTTTTTGCCTTTGTCAGGTAATTACAGGTCTTTTCAGTTTCTACAGGAGCCCTGATGTAGCGTGTGGGAGTTGGGCAAGCCCTGTACAATGGCAGGGGAGAGGCGGCCGGGGTGGGGGGAAGGCTGGTAGTCGTCCCATTTAGAAGGGGGCTGGAAATAATAGTACTAAGGTTTGGGCTTTCTTCGGGGGTTGCAGAGGACATGCGACGCGGAGCAGAGTGGCGGGCCTGGGGAGCAAGTGCCAGTTAATTAGGCGAAGTATCGAAGTGCAGCGTAATCCCGTATTATGAGAAGAATCCCTCTCACCTTCCAATGGGCTTTGTGCAAAGAAATATTGGTGTGGGAGGAAAAAGAATCAAATAGCACCCCCCCCCCGACCTTTGGTTTTTTTTTTTTTTTTTTTTTGTGTTTCCCCTCCCTTAAAACTCTTCTTTAACATATTGGGTTAAGGCTTTAAAAAGCAAAGGCTCGCGCTAAGAAACCTTGTTCCTTCAATGATTCCCTATTTCAAATAAAAGGATTTAAGTTGACGTATGACCACGTGAGCACATAATACAGCGCATTATTGTGGCATTTGGAGTGGAGACCCGGTCTGGCTCCGTCTGCGATTACGCTTTTCCAGTTTCAGATCAGAGCAAGCACTGCTTTCTATTATTTTTTTTTTTTTTCCCCTCCTGCCCCCACCACCGTCCCCGCAAGAGCTGGCCATTTCGCTGACAGCTTTCGTTCCTTATGGAAAGGTTATTGCCGAGCCGAGAGGACGAAATGCTTCGTTAGAAAGGATGGATTTTATTTTAAGGTATTTCCGTTGATTGTTCTTATATGTGGTGAGTTATTGCTGTTCGAGGCAAAGGTCAGTAGCAGAGGCTGGAGCGAGTGCGTGTGTGTGCGTGCGGGTGTGTGCGCACCCGGAGCCAGGCTGCTTCTCCCTTTGTTTCAATTTGCTGCGGTAAATATTCAACTCTCCCCTCGCAGGGAGCAGAGCGGGGAGAGTTTGCTGCTTTATTTATTTTTCTCCATAGAGATCCCACACTGCTGCTGATGGCCAGCTGCCTCCGCTCCAGCCCCTCTATTGCCCTTTTATCATTATTTATGATCGGCTAGAGATGGGAAACCTCTTTTATTGTCGAGTTTGGATTTCCCCCCCCCTTAACTTTATTTTATTATTTTATTTGCTTGTTTGTGTGTTTATTTATTTATTTATTGGGGAAGTCGGAGAAAAGGACGCGGGGGTGGGTGAGTGCGATGCTCCTCGGTCGGGGTCGTGCTCGAGCGTGTGGCGGTGGTTCTTGTTTTATGGGTGTTTGTTCGGCCGCTGCCGCTCCGTAAATCGATGAGTACGCGGTCGTGCTGCCATTTTATTTATGATGCTTTCGTGGTACTTTGTTTACCGTGCGCCGAGGGCTGCATGGACGCTCAGCTCTGTGGCAAAGCTTCGCCTGCCCAAACGAGCCAAGGGGCTCCTCTTTATTTCTCCGCGGTGAGAGGGAGCTGAACCAAGAGCCAGACATGGCTTCTAACAATAAATATGCTTTGGAAATGTGGTGGGTTTTTTTTTTTCTCTCTCTGAATGGTGATCCGAAAAGCGAGAATAAAAAGGGGAGGAGTGGAAATTATTTTCTAAGATAACTTATGCTAGTCCTAAATTCATATCCATACCGTTGTTTACATAAATATAGATATATCCGTGCGTGTAAATATGTAAGTATTTGCATATACTTATAAATAGGTGTGCGTAGCTATACTTAAAAAATGCTCTTTGAAGAACGAGAATGGCGGTCCAAGGAGGGCAAAATGCTGTATAAACCGGGATTTCCCCGGCGTGCCTCGGCTCTGGGAAGGGGCTCAGCTCCAGGGCTCGCTTTTCCTCGCTCGGCGCCCCTCGCCTGCTCCCGGTGTATCCCGCGCCCGGTTACTATTAATTAATTAGTAATTACTAATCTTCTAAAGGCTCAGAAAGAGAGGAGAGGGAGAAAGAAAGGCGAATGATGATAAAAACTCCGCTGAAAACAAATAATAAAAGGTTCTTTCCAGCCGGAGCTTTGGCGGCCGTTCTGCAGGACTGAGATGTTGGGGCTGGTTTCTCTCTTTCCTGCTCTTTCAGCCGCTCTCAGAGCAGAACTGACCCAAAGAAACGCCGTTCCCCCTTCTCCCCGTACTGAAGCACGTTGTCCTTGCTTAGACCCGGCGCCTATCTCTCTCCGGCGAGGGGAGGAGAGCTGTTTCGCTCCCATCTAGGTGTCTAAAAGCCAAGGTTGGTTTTGCCGTTGCTTGAAACGGGCCAAAACGAGCCTCAAAAATAAAGAGCAAGCTTTAATTGCAGCTCGATTACTTGGAAGCGCTTCCTCTGATTTGTGACCCAGTTCGGATGCAGATTGACCCAGTTAAAACACTCATAAATACTACAGTGCTGCTCTAGAGCAAAAGAAAGCAAGAAGAGTTTTGGAGGAGAGGGGGATTTCGGCGAGTTGTGTAAATAACCTCTGTGTGCGGGGCAAACAGCAAAGAGTCCGCTGCCCTTCTTTAGTGTTAGAGAGTGTTAACAATAATTCAGATTACTCACGCCTTGCTTCGATAGTCCAGTCCTTCTCTGAGGCAGGTAATACCCCCTCCTAACTCCCTAATCACTTGGACAGGCACCACATCCAGAACTGGTCCCCTTGTCCAGCAACTCCCCCCCTTGCTCTTGCATCCCTAAGAGTTCCCCCCAAATCAGCCTTGAATTACAGTGCTGCCTGCTTTCATTTCGGAGCATCTAAGGACAAAGCGCTTTACAGGCGTTATGTTATTCCGAAACGCAGAGTAAATTCACGAAAGGGGAGCAGTCCCGCAGAGTGGGACCCTTCGGGAAGAAAAGGCGGCTCATTTCTGATCCGGGAATCAGCCCCAAACGCTGCCGGTCCCTCCCCGAGCAAAGCCCCATCGCTCTCCGCTGAATGGAGCAGAAAGAAAATATTCGGCCTCTGGGAGGGAAAGACCGATAAAAGCAACTGGGATCTGTGCGTTGGGACACTTATCTCGACATCATAGGAGACATTAAAAAAAAATTATCTTCTCGTGTTTAAAATGACCTCTTTGGGGAGAGAGGGGGCGTGGGGAAACGGGACTAGGAGGCCAAATCTCGCAAAATACTCTGCAGGCAGAAAAACGCGTCGAGGAAACACTTCGGTATTTCTAAAAGCCCCCTGCAAAACGCTTCAGTTCTAAAAAGACCCCCTCACCCCCCCTCCCCGTCC